AGAGAAAGAGTCGCATAGGCGCAATTACAAGGTCAGTGTTGTACAGACTGTATGATAGAAGGTAGCAAAAGTTACGAGATTGGAAGTCGGGGGGATGCCCTGGTCTTTGGATTTATTCACAGAGCAGTTTCCTAGATGGCAAGAAGAGTACTAAAGTATTCGGAAGACATAGGTTATGAAAATGATAAGTGCATCAGTCAACATTCGAGGACGAATGTTCCAAAGAAGGGGAGTGATGTTACACCCCATATTTTCGTACGTGAAAGTACCCCATAAGTAAATTGATGAAAGCTCAGAAAGGAGATGTTACATCTCGCATTTTCGTACATTAAAGTTTCGTCGTAAGTTATTCGACATAAGTTCGGGAAGGAAATTATTTTGAGATTATAAGTATTATGCTACTTCAAACAAATGATAACTAAATTTGTGAAGGTGGGAGGGTAAGCGAATAGAAGAAAATAAGTTTTGTCAAAATTTGGAAATTTGGGATAAAATACAGTCCGAGCTATAATACCCGGTATTTATAGACTAATGCCATACAAGGTACCACATGACCATGATAGTAGGGTACATAAAGTGTGTTAAAAATGAGTAGTATTTTAAGTAGTTTGAGATAATTCTTAATTATGTGGATAATTGGTTAACTATTGGATTAGCGAGGGATTTAATAAGTTAAATATGGAGAATTATAGGATAAACTTGGTAACCCCAACGTGGCAGCAAGTCAAGCCATGTTTGGTGACTCTTTGCTTACATTATTAGATGGCATTTTAAGAGATTTGGGTGGCAAAATAAGCCTTATTAAGTGGGGCCCACACCCATTCAATAAAAGGCTTCTCTACCTTAGCATGTATCAAATGCTAAAGTATGATCTCCAAGAATTCAATAATGTGAGCTTTCATCTTTCAATAACGTGAGCTTTCATAATTCAATAACGTGAGCTTTCAAGAATTCAGTAATGTAAGCTTTCACGGATCTTCAAGAATTCAGTAACGTGAGCTTTCGTGGATCTTCAAGAATTCAAAAATGTGAGATTTCATAGTATCTTAAGCAACGTGAGATATAGTAATTATAAGGGAGTACGGTGCAATCTTTCTGAAGAAAATCATACGGATATTCCCCTACTTCGATCCGTTGTTACGTGTTGTCGCAATCAACGGGTGTTAAAGGGATTATCAAGAGAATCAATTCAGGTATGTTAAGGCTAACCTTACCTTCATTTTGGCATGATCCAGTAACTACATGTGTTTGATAACGAGACATAAAGAGAAATTCATATTCCTAAATTTATGTACATTTCCTAGTCTCATAAGTTAGAGTATCCTCCCTTATCGGGACTTTATATTCAATTTAGTATTGTCTTCTTCCAGTAAAGAGAGCAGAGGGTCTATATTTATACAGTATTTTCACCACCATCGAGCTATAATTGGTGGGCAGGCCCCTATTGGGCAACCTCTGATCAGATGATAAGTTATATACCGAGCTTACTGTGGCCGAGCGATTATGAGCGAGCCCAGAATGGCTGAGATACAAAGCCTAGTATGGCCGAGCGCCTATGAGCGAGCCTACTACGGCAGAGCAGTTATATATATCGAGCCTTATAAGGCTGGACAGCTATTTTACTTACTATATTGAGAGAGTTGATTCAGTATCAGCAGGTGAGCATATCTTCAGATTATCTTTTACTCCCAGTAACTTTCAGTTATTATATTATCAGTTCAGTTTCAGCTTTTAGTATATTGCCTTACATACTCGGTACATCATTTCGTACTGGCGTCCCTTTTCTGGGGGCGCTGCATTTCATGCGTGCAGGTTCAGACAGACAGACGGTTAGACCTCCTCATTAGGTGTTGCCCGATTTCAGCTTGATTGGTAAGCTCCTTGCCCTTCGGAGTTGCCGGGTCTAGAGCTTTATGTACATCTTGTGTATATATGTATACATGTTATGAGTAGGTCGGGGCCCTGTTCTGATCACAGTATATCCATAAGTAGAGGCTTGTAGACATATCCTATAAGTTAATGCAGTATGTTGGGCTTGTAGGCCTGTTATGTATATTTTGTTGGTTTGCCAGCTATAGTAGTTATGACGGCCTTGTCGGCCTAGCTTTATATTGATATTTAGTCAGCATTCGCAATTGTCTTGAAATGTGGCCCATGGCCAAAGTATGACATTATATGTTCAGAGTCCCTTAGTCGCAAGTTGGTACACAAGGATAGGTGAGGCACCAGGTGCCGGTCTCGCCCCCCAGGTTCGGGGCGTGACGACGCCACGGCAGAAATCCGTGCCTTTACTCTTATGGGACCGGGCCGCTCGCCTTGGCAAAATTATGCGAAATACTTGATAAGGAGCCCGCGTACTCATGAATTTTCCTGACTTGAGATGTGACCATTGATTTGGTGTTGACCATTACGTATTCCATATGAGGAGGTATCCGATATTTGAGGACTTTGTGTTTTCTGTTCAGTTGTAGACAATTTTATTTGCTCATATCTGTTCTCACTGTTTACTTACCATGTTTCATACCTGTCTACCTTATTATATTTGATTTATTAAACCACTAGTAAGTGTCAATATCGACCCCTCGCCACTACCTCTCCGGGGTTAGGCTAGATATTTACTAGGTACGCGTTGATCTACGTACTCACGCTATACTTCTACACTGAATGTGCAGGTACTGACGCATGTACATTATGGTGAGCTTCATTTCATGTTATGATCTGCAACACACGGAATCTCCATCATGTTTATTTATTTTATCCTGTCTATTTTATGTTCCAAACATTTGTTGTAGTAATATTGTATTGTTCTAGTAAATGCTCATGCACTTGTAACACCGGATTTTAGGGGTTCCTGGTGAATGTTCATAATTGTATTTCATGTTATTATTATCATTTTATTTTATGATTTAATCATACTCAGAAATTTTGGTAAAGAAAAACACAGATTTCTATGAGTGCTAGATTTTATTCTATTTACTTAATGAAATTTCTTATTTTAAAAAAACTGAAATGGATAATTAAATGGACGTTCATGAGTTGGCTTGCCTAGCAGCATCGTGGGACGCCACCATAACTTATTATGGGATTTGGGTCGTGAAAATTTCTCTAGGTCAACAAATACTATATGTGAATCCTTCTTCCTCTCCGTATGTTATTCCATTAATCTCCTGACGAAGTGAATATCTTCTATAGTTGATCTCCCCAACATGAATCCAAACTGTTTCTAAAAAAATATACACACTCTTCCTCATCCTCACTTTCACCACCCTCTCCCACACTTTCATAGTATGGACTTAGTAGCTTAATACCCCTATAGTAGTCGCAATTCTAGATATCACCCTTATTTTTGTACAATAAAATCATCGTACTCCACCCCTAATCCTAAGGCATCTTCTTCGTCCTAAAAATCACATTAAATAACCTGGTGAGCCACTCCAAGTCTTCCCTGCCCGCATTCTTCCAAAGTTCCACCGGGATGTCATCTGGCCCGCTCGCTCTTCCCCTGCTCATCAAACGCATAGCCCCCTCAACCTCCTCAACCTTAATGAGCCTACAATACCCAATATTGCACGACTCTTGAAATGCTCTAATTTACTTAGCACAATGTTCATGTCTCCCTCTTCATTCAAGAGTTTGTGGAAGTAGGTGTGCCATCTTCGTCTAATTTGTGCCTCCTCTACCAATACCTTACCTTCTTCGTCTTTTATGCACTTCACTTGGTCCAAATCACATATCTTCCTCTGTCTCACTTTGACTAACTTGTACAGCTTCTTATCCCGCCTATAACCCAAGTTCTTCATATAAACATCATGTAGGTATAAATATTTTCCGTTTCAGACCAACCCCTTCTACCCTTCATATCAATGTTCTACATCTTCAAAGTCTTTACCTATTCCTGGCTATTATACGTTTGCTGGAGAAGGGAGTGATGGAAAAGGATACTTCCACATCCTTTCTCTTTATACTTTTCCTCACGAAATCAGCCGGGTCAAATCGAATAATTTCAGCTTTAATGGCATTGACGGATCGATTTCTTCTTTTTCCCTTTCATATTGTAAACCAATTTAAAGTCACCATATTATATTCAACTGAGGAAAAGGAAAATTAAAAGGACATGTTTTGGCGTGCTGCAAATATAATCTTGATAGAAACAAAGGGTCCACCGAACTATATAGAGAACCAGGTTCTCTATAAGTTCCCACAGAACACACGCACACTGCAGTAAGTAAATGACACATTGGAGTTTTACGTGGAAAACTTTCAGCTCACGGGATTAAAAACCACAACCTACCCTTGTAGGATTTCAACTTCACTACTGAGCAAACTTCAGATTACAACCTATTGTAACCTAGGAATTAACCTCTTAATCCCTCACTAACTTATAACAAGCCCCTTTGTTATAACTCAATTACAACTCGACTAACTCTAGCCATGACACAAACACAAGGTTTATGATTTTACAAAGGTTTCCTACACAATGCTTCTAACTAAGCTAAGTAGGAATTACAAGTAAAGTACTTTAACAAAGGTGGAACACAACTCAATACAGGAAACTGGTCCTTCGTCATGTTGTTTTTTCTTCTTGATGCCCTTGAGGATCACTTGCAGGATTGACACATAGTTGAGAGAATGCTTGATAGATTCTTCAATGTGCAAGCGTTTTGTTTTACCTTTGCTCGATGTTAATATTTCATTGTGACATCACTTGAATGATGCAAGCATGTTAGGTAAAAGGGCATTCCTCATAAAGTTGACTGGTACACTATTTTTGCATTGTTGCGTGTGCAGGCAGCAACTTTACAGCTGTGGGGAGTTGACTTGTACAGTCACCAAGGGAACTGGAGGTCATCTGTTCCCTCTGTTGTTCCTTTGACTCTGAAGAGTTGAACCACGTCCCCGACTTGAGATTTGTTGTTCTTAAGTACTTGAAGATCTGTAACAGGTTCCTTATCAGGTTCTTATTAATAAGTTTGTTAGATCAGCAAAACATAACAAGGATGTATATAACCTATCAAATCTTCTAATTTAACTCTTGGAATTTGTTCAGAAAGATCATTGCGAAAAATTGTATTATCAAGTCATTTGCCCTGCCTCTATAGACGATACAATCATTGGCCTTAAACTGTCTATTTTAGTTGCTCCGTCATATATACACTACCACTGTTGACAAACCAGACAAAGTAAATACATTTCAAAAGTTCCAAATGTGATTTTATATCTATCTTGGCTCTAAGACTGTTAGTGACACGGTGTTACTTAGACATCCTTCATCAGCTGACTCTGTTGATTCCAATGAATTCCTCTCTACGAAAAAACCAGGCTGCTTTGGTTGAGGAAGAACCATATCCTCATTTCCCAACCAAAAAACTACTGATCCCATCGTAGGCCTATCCTCTGGCAGTTTTTGGACGCACAACAAACCAACTTGAATGCATCTAAACACTTGAGATTCTGAAAATGATTCTTCCAAACATTCGTCCATCAGTTCCAACGCTTTGCCTTCAGTCCAAAGTAACCATGCCTAAAGTAACAAACATAACACATTTATAGAGTTGCATTTACATTAATTAGAAAGCGTCAAATTACGGGATCGAAGTTCTGTGCCATATATGCTTACATGTCCCAAAAGATTGTGATGATGTTCCAAATGACGAAATCTCCTGTTCCTTCTGCCGCTAACAATTTCTAGAATGATTACGCCCATACTGAATACATCTGATTTTACTGAATATTTCCCATCAACGGCATATTCTGGTGACATATATCCACTGCATCAACTCATCCAATTTAAGTTAATGTACTGACTGAATGTAATAAAGATTCAACGGTGAAGGTTTGTAGAACTTACTATGTCCCTATGACTCTCTTTGTTTTTCCTTCCACTTGGTCTCCGCCCAAAATTTTGGCAAGGCCGAAATCAGAAATTTTGGCATTCATGCCACTATCTAATAAAATGTTGCTAATTTTGAGATCTCTGTGAATAATTCTTAATCTTGAGTCCTGGTGAAGATAAAGAAGACCTCGAGATATTCCCATTGCAATTTCAAAGCGGTTCTTCCATGGAAGTGACGCTTTTCTGCTTGCATCTGCACAATGTAGATCTAATCATTGGGGGCTGCAGAGGACTTATAAAATACTAGGAGTAGTATTTAGTTAAAGAATCTTTACCAAAAATGAAATAGTCCAAGCTAGCATTGGGCATAAACTCGTAGATTAGCATCCTTTCTTCTCCTTCCAGGCAACAGCCCAAAAGCTTGACAAGGTTCCTGTGTTGCAGCTTGGAAATGAGAACGATTTCATTTTTTAACTCTTGAATGCCTTGTCCAGAATACTTTGATAGCCTCTTTACTGCTATCTCTTGTCCATTTGGTAGGATACCCTGCAATTTTCTATCAAGGGTCAAAGATGCCACTTCTAGCTAGAAGTTCAAGATCAACGTTGATTTACCTTGTAAACCGGTCCAAAGCCGCCCTCCCCAATCACATTAGCAGAAGAGAAGTTCTTAGTGGCACTAGTAACAGCAACTAAATCAAACAATGGCAACTCCATATCCTCATTTGAAACTTCTGAACCTGTCAATGATGTACATTCACCCATCACAAATATGATATTAATGTAAATTTGGTAAAGGCAAACAATATTAGCCGGATGAAAGTTCACCTAGGTCACACAGAATTCAGAGTTAACAATTTTCTAATAAAGCTGTTTGACAAGAGTAGTATATTTACCTGTTTTTCTTTTTCTTCTTTGGAAGGAAAACCATCCTAAAACGCTGAGGAGAGATGTTGCTAGTACTGCTGAAATGACAGCAATCAGGGTTGACCTCTTTCTCCTCCGCTTCCTGTCTGAATCTGTTCAATAAGTAGTCCATAAGCTGTCTTCAGTAGTGAATTGCTTAAGTGTATTACTTTTATTTTGTTATGAAGCCCCCGCAGGCTTAGCAGTAACTTGTCAACCAATGCTTTCAATCTGCGACATTTACTGAAAACGTAGTCCATGTCCAATTGATTTCAAGCTGCACTGTTAATTGGAACATCTTCGCTGAATGATGACCCAAATTAAAGTACAGTAGCACTATCTCATGTAGTAGTATCCAACACTACATGAAGCTTATATTCTTTGTGCAGCAAATGTTTTAAGAGGTTAGAGGTTATTTGTTCACAGTTGGTGCAAATTATTATATATACACCGCACACACTTTCAATTCTTTTGGCTTACATAAAATAGGCGCTGAGCTCAAGGACAGTGAGTATTGACCACCAGTTGTCAACATGCTTGATCTGCCATGAGGTCTAGCATATTTTTATACCTTTAAAAGGGAGACAGTTTATTTAATGCATTTATTTTTAATTAAAATAGTTTTCAATTCAAACAGATGATTGCTTATAGGTGCTAAGGTGCCTATTGGGAAGTGCTTACTGGGAACAGATAGGTCTGTTAATACTAATGTATGGTTCAGACCTCTTCTCTTACTGCTCATTACAAATCACAAATTGTGTTCTGGTGGGAAATTTCAGTTAATTTATGAAACTTGAATTTCGTTGGCTTTGTAAAATCCCGGAGGAAGTCTGCTGCCGTCTTGCAGTTACGTGAGTGAGAGGCTTAAATTCCTCAAGGACAAGGCTTACACTATCAAAGTTCTTTTATTGTTCCCCAACTCTACAATTTTCCTATCACCAGCTACTAAAGTACCTACTCAACTTTAATGCCTATAAAGTAAGAAAATGACATAATAAAATGAAAAAAATGGAGGGTAGTGTCATTACCTAATTCTGAAGCAGCAACTCTCACGAACAGGTCTTGCTCATTGTGGCTCAACTCTCTAATATCAATGAGTTCACCAAACCATAGTAAGCATCCACTTCCACCATTTCTAACATCAAGATTTGAGTAGGCTGTACAATTGCAATCAGCCAAGCACATTTTTTTGCATTCTTCAAGGTTCATGCGCTGATTATACCACGAGTGTCTAGAATCCGGCATCTTAATACCCGTCAATTTAAGAAAATCATCTTGGCCACAAGCCAAAGAAGTTCTCCTTACACAACCGCTAGACCAGTCCGCTGCATCCCATTGATTAGGATATCTGTGAAGACATAATTATGTAATCAAAATAAACTTCCACGTGCTTGGCCCAGGGATAAGAATTTAGCCATACGCGAGGGAGTGTGAGAAGACATAATTAAGTAATTAAAAATGTGCTCTCTCTAATAACTTAAGAAGAGGCAGTCACACAGTTTAACAAATACCTAGGCTCGAAACCTCTCAGACAGTCACATGGAGGTGAATTATTGATATTGCAGCTTGCATAAGGTCCACATAAAGCAAAACGATCACAGTTACCAAATTGTGCTGTCAAGTAGAGAAACCAGCTCTGACTGCGCTCTATCCATGTTAGGTGCTCTATAACCCCATCCGCGTCGATCACCACCCTGGTGGGCAGGGACGCATTCTTAATCTCGTATTTGTAGTATATTTCCTGTTGATTAATAACAAACTTGAAAGTATAATACATATTTGGTTTAGAATTAGGACTACCACTAAATGCAACACCGTTCCATGGCCCTATGCTATATACTATAGATGAATTTTTCAACACAAACAATTGCGGGTACCCATGAGAATCAAGAAAGTCTACATATTCACCAGGAGCAGGATCATCCGCGCTCTTCCATGACGATCTGTACCAATTCATGCCTGTGACCAAATTGCGTCCAAGCTTCATGCCAGGCAATAAAGTATTTCCTGGATAGTCAAAACTCTGCCACACGATATTAATTTCCGGATCTCTGTCATTTCCATCACTGACAACAAGGTTCCCAGAATCCAAAAGCCGTGCTTTTGGATGCTTTAAGGATCTTGATGAGTTTGATGACCAAATTGAGGCATTGGAACTGTTGATAAGTACTAGAATTCCATTGGGTCTTAGTGTTAACACTCCTGAAGTGTCATTCAGTGGAATGTTTCTGTTGGCAACCCAAACGACAGTTCTAGGTGATATCTTCTTATACCATATGCCAACATAGCGATTCTTGGAATTTCCAGGGCTGAAAAATCCAAGTTCATAAACCCCACCAGCTGAAACAATTGTATCACCATCTCTAATGGGTTTATCTCTAGTGATCGTGTCTAATGCTGCACAAGTTAGAAAGATGAAGAGTAACTGGGAACAAACAAATAAAGGTAGCCCTTTCATGAATTCTGACTCATGTTTTTAGTTGACAAGGTTAAAACCTTAAAGCCATAATATAGGTGACACAAAGAGAGAATTCCACTAACTTTGACGGACAAGGCTAATATAAATTTATGTTCATTATTCGTTTATATAAAGAAAGTGACATGAAATCTTATTTGCAAACTGAAATGTGAATTGGATCTTGGAAGCATCTTAAGGAAATGACCTAAATATTTGTTTTTGGAAAACTCTTAATGAAGGTCTTTCACGGCTTCTTTATTTTATTTGCAAGTTGCAACTACCTAAAATTTAGAATTTTCTCCTACGATTTCATTTTAACTTTTTTACGAGCCAATCACTTAACTGTGAACAATATCACTTCAAAATTGAATAGTTCGTTCAACTTAACTGTTGAGACTTGAGAGGCAAAAAGGCGGCTAAGAATTATTATTAATTAGCATGTAAAAGTCTGAACTTGTTCAAAGTTGTACGCCTTTGACTCCCCAATTCCCAGTTATAATCCGGTGTTTGCAATATATGTATGCTATGTCCCTCCACATTTGCCTTTATTACTTAATCTTCGTTAATTTTTTTATATAAATTTTTACCTTATTTTATCACCTACCTATCCCAAGTTAGTATTGTCAGTGGTTCTTTTAATATGTTCTTTAAGGATTTGACACTCCCATTAAGTAAAATAAATTTATTAATTGCATTATTCATAAATGATATATGAGTAAATCCCCATATCTCTTCCTTAAAAAAATTATAAATGCAATACATTTTTTGGAATAGTAAAGGCGTGATGAGAAAAGGAAAATTCATGTCTTCTTAGCTTTTAAATACCAAATATTTTTACCAAATCTTTTAGTTAGAGTGAAAAATAAAAGGATATGAAAAAATATAACACAATATAAACATGTATAAATATTATTATCTTTTCAATTTTCTTCATCTTACTAGTTTTTTCCTCTCACCGACTATTTATATCATCGATAGAGAAGGGAGTGATGGAAAGGAATACATCCTCCTCCTTTTTTCTTTCCTTTTCTTGATATGATCAATTAGGTCAAAATAAAAAATTCTAAATTTTCAGCATTTCTCAATACATATTTCATAATATTGTCGCATTCGTTTTTTCTTTTTTCGTTTCATAACGTAAACCGTGGTAAAGTCACCATATTTCTTTTTTTTATTTTATAGGAGAGTCACTATCTCATATTCAGCTGAGAAAAGAAAAGAGAGAAAAAAGACAAGTTGTGTTGAGTTACAAGCAAATGATATTACTTAACAAATTGGGCTACTTTCTTTCTTTTACTATTAGGCTCAGAAGCCCACAATGTATTTATTCTAGTTTGTAGTGTAAGTAGTGGGCCTTCCCGTTTATAGATAGAAGAAACAACATTTTGTAGATAGACTTTTCATTTTTTAATTTTGAGCAAAATAGAAACCTAGAAGCTTCCGTCTCTCTCTCTCTCTCTCTCTCTCTCTCTCTCTCTCTCTAATCTCACTATGAACTAAGATAAACTTTAGTGATTTGCTCGTCGATCGAGTTTTAACATGGTATCAGAGCCCAGATTTGGATAGATTGGGTAATTATCTCTCATCCGATGTTACCCTCACACATTTTCATCGGAGTTTTGAGGTTTCGTTGTTTCTTCGCCTATAAATACTTCTCTAAGTATCAGCTGAAGCCAAGCAGGAGAACCATAAAAATCCCATCTAACTTACTACTCTCTTAACACTACTGGCTATTGTTCTTTTAAATTCGCTTCATTTTGTGGTAATTATCTCTCATCCGTGGTTCTTCCTGCTCATTTTTTCTTGCATCTCTTTCCCTGAAATGGTTTTTAGCTCGATCACTGAGGAATTCTCGAAGATGACCCTCGTTGAACAGCCGAGCTACCTCCTCCCTTAGCTGCATGCAGTTTTCGATTCTATGGCCATGTGTGCCATGATACTTACACATTAAATTTGGATTCCTCTAAGAAGGGTCGGTTTGGATTAGCTTGGGCCACCTGGTATCTTTGATTCTTCCGATAGCTGACATGATTCCTGATGCATCTACACTGAAATTATACTCTGACAATCGAGGTGCTTCCGCGGGATCGGTGTATTTATCAAACCCGCTCTTACTCATGAGTCCTCGAATGCTCTGTCCTCGATCATTTCTCCGATCATTCCGAGGAGCTTTACGGCATGCACCATTGTTTCTCCGATCAACATACGGCTGATACTGTTCTTTGTTTGACCTTGATTCTTTATCTGTATCCCTCGGGGGCTTGGCTGTCGATCTGTTAGGATGAACTGAACCCGAGGGGGCTCCCAACTGGTCGTCCTCGATCCTAATCTTCGATTGATAACGGTTATGCACATCGGACCACGTCACAGCTGGATACTCGATCAAATTCTACTTTAACTGTCGAGATGCAATCGAACTCTTTACATTCAAGCCCTGCATGAAATCTTGTACTGCCCGGTCATCCGAGACCGATGGTAATTCCATCCGCTCCATTTGAAACCTGGACACGAACTCTCTTAACATTTCGTCGTTCCTTTCTTTTATCTTGAATACATCTAACTTCCTTGTTGCCACCTTTATGGCCCCGGCATGTGCTTTCACGAAGGCGTCTGCCAACATAGCAAACAAGTCAATAGAGTTAGGAGGCAAGTTGTGATACCAAATCATGGCTCCTTTCGACAAAGTTTCTCTGAATTTTTTCAACAACACGGGCTCGATCTCATCATCATTAAGGTCGTTTCCTTTAATCCCACAAGTGTATGAAGTAATATGCTCGTTAGGGTTGGTTGTCCCAATATATTTGGGTATATCAGGCATGCAAAAGCTTTTTAGGGATGGGAATCGGAGCCGCACTCTGTTTGTATGAACTTTTTTGCGTCTAAACCTTCCAAAACTGGAGGTGCCCCCGGTATCTGGTCAACACGGGAGTTATAAGTCTCCACCTTCTTATTATTGTTCTCAATCATCTTTTCCCCGGACGCGATCCTTTTGGTGAGCTCTTCGAGAATCCTCATGATAGTTGGGTCAGTCCCCGAGTCATTTTCGTTCGACCTCTCTGGCGCTGGTTCAGCACGCCGAGGGTTTTCTGGTTCAGCTATACTCGGAGTTTTATTCTGACTTTGAAGTCGAGCGATGGCGATCTGCTGAGCTTGCAGCATCTCGAATATCACTTGGAGGCTGACCCCCCCCCCCCC